GAAATAATGTTGCTGTGTAAAAGTGGTTGAATTAAAAAAATTTATTGGTCCAATTTCTGGTGGCAAGACAGACAAGGTTTGGAGCTTTCACAGAGCTCTTCTTCAGAGCTGGTAGCTTCCTCAGTGTCATTTCTCAGGTCTGAGGAAGAGCTCTGGGTAAGGGTGAAAACTTATCGGGCTCACCGACCAAAGTTGGTGTGCTGAAAGACATTACCTCACCCACCTCATTCCTCTCACATCTTGGGACCAACATGGCTACAACCATACCAGATACTATCCTTTATTGAGACATCAATTAAAGAAACAAATCCATGGAAGAATTAGTTACAAAGTCACCACCCCACCAATAACATGACAGAGAATACCCCATATCTGCACAAGCTAAAAGGAAAAGGATGTGCAATTTTATAAAGACTTGTACTCATAGCATTTCATTAAAGCAAAATCATCGTTTCAAGCAGGGTTAGATACAGTCCTAACCTGGGTGCCTTGAACGGTCACAGAGAACCTGCAAAGATTTATTTTTAGTTAGGAAACCTGAGCCCATTATATTCCTTCTCTGCCCACAGCACTTAATGTTCCCCTGATCTTTTTGGCGTAAAGTAGACTTTGCTTCTAAATGTGCCTTGGTACCTCTGTTAGCTTGTCCCATTTCAATGGCAACACTGAAATATTCTGTGTCAGTCTGTTATGAATCTCCTTAAATCAACTATAGTTCCTTACCTCCAACAATCAGAGTGGATCCATTCCCAAAAATCAGGTAGCTGCTGTGGATATATGCACAATAATAAACACCAGCATCATTCTGTTGGATGTTGCTAATTTCCAGTGTCGAGCTGTGTGTCTCATGTTTGCAAGCAAATTTACTTGCATTGAGATTATCCAAACAGTACTTAATGCGGATGGGTGTCTCTCCTTCTCTTCTCAGATACCAAAACACGTCTCCTGCTTCCATTTTTAATTTGGATAAACAGCGGATCTTTGCGGTATCATTAACTTCAGCAAACTGGTCCCGCTGAGGTTGGTAGAGAAATAACTGCACTCCTAGCACTGGAGAAATGAAATAACATTATGGTTAGTTTCCTCAGGTCTCCAAGAGATGAGCTGAGTAGCTCAGCAACAGAATCCACTACGTCTGGTAACATAAATACTCTGCAGCCTCAATGCTAGAAAAACTCGCGATCACTTTGGACAGCTAAATGGAATTGCAATTAAAATCCAGCAGAAGTTTCCAAACACATTCTAGATACGCAACCTGGGGGTCCTCTTTGAAGGGGTTGTTCTCCCAGTTCCAAAGCTTAATGC